TGAATTACGGTCTCAGATAGATAGGATCCAATTAAGTTACACGTACAGAACAATTATCACATAAGTGTTACAGAAATTCTAAATGGATGGCACGTGTTGGGTGAAAGGAAAAGTCAAGGACATTTGGCTGGAGAAAATTATTAGAAAATTCATTAAATTACTTATGTTTTTGTTTTAATTTTCGGGCTCATTACGAGATATTAAACGAGAGTGAAATATTATATTCTTAATATCATTTTAAAGTACTCACATCCTAGTATTTCACGTCGTTTACGGTGCGCGAAACGGTCAATCGTAACAAATGTTACGACACGTCAAAATAGGCATTTTCAAAATAGTATTTCGAGAATTTTGATAACATGTTAACCTTAAAAAAATTTCGACGATTTTACGCTAGTTGAATCTATAAATTTTCTTTATTCTCTTGAAGCTCATTTCGAGAACTACATAATATACACATTGAATAATCTAAATTAATATCGAAAATAGTTAAATGTACATCAAATGTAGTGGGTTAAAAAATGCGTATAAGTCGTCTTTTTTAAAAAAATTTATTTTATTAATGTTTATTATTATTTGACGACAATTTTCTCAATATAATTTGCATCACTTTATTAAAAAAATTACGTGATTTTTTTAAAAATTAATAAATGCTTGATGTACGTTTAACTATTTTTTGAACCAATAAGAAAAAGTTCCTAAAAGTGATTGAATTTTTTTATATATAAAAATTTTTCAAATGTAAAAATAATCAGGATGAAAAAGTAGTATAACAATTTATAATTCATATAAATTATAAAGTGGTAATAAATTTATTAGGAGTTTTTATGTCAAAAAAAAAAGACATCATACCACAAAATTTTTTTTTAAAATGATGTAAATTATATTGAAAAATTGTCGCGAAAAAATAATAAACATTAATAAAATAATTGATTTTTTTTAAAAAAGAGTTATACGTATTTTTTAACACACGCGTTTGATGTACATTTAACTATTTTTTATATTCATTTAGATCCTTCGATGTGTCTATAATATAGTTCTCGAAATGAGTTTTGAGAGAATATAAAAAATTTATGGATTCGACTAACGTAGAATCGTCAAAAAAAATTTAAAGTTAACTTATTATCGAAATCTCCGAAATACTAATTTGGAAAGACCGCCGTAACATTTGCTAATGGTTGGACGTTTCGCGCACTGTTAACGACATGAAATACTAGACTGTGAGTACTTCAAAATGATATTAAGATTATAATATTTTCACCTCGTTTGATATCCCATAATGAGCCCGGAAATTAGGACAAAAACATAAGTAATTTAATGAATTTTCTAATAATTTTCTCCAACCAACCGTCCTTGGCATTTCCTTTCACTCAAAACGTGCCCTCCATTTTAAATATATGTAGCACTTCTGACAGAAATTGTTCTGTACGTGAAGCTTTACTCTAGATTATGCGAGATTGGCAACCATACGTATTCCAAATTGTTAGTTTGAATTGTGACTCTTAGGGACCGTTTAATTGGAAAGATGAAATTTGAGTAGAAAGAAAACGAATTCCAGGAAATTGAATTGCCTAGAAATTGCTTTATTAGGAATTGTCAATGATTGTGTTTGATTGGTATAATTTTTTACATGAAAATTGTTGAAATAAAAGTATTTTTTGGTGTTCATTGGCTTTGTTTTACATAAAAATTGTCAATTAAAGGGATAGAATTTACTGGTATTAAGGATAGAATTTGTTTTCATTGTAAAAAAAAAAAAAAAAATATATATATATATATATATATATATATAGCCTAGAAAACTGGTTTTCCTCAGAAACCAAGAAAACTGCCCCTTTCCAAGAAAATCAAGAAAATGAATTCCGTAGAAAAAAAGCTATCAAACAGCTAAAAAGATGGAAAATGGAATTGCATTTCCTAGTTCCATAGAAAATTGTTGCTATCAAACAGGGCCTCAGTCTAAATTTTAACTTTATCAACATTTTGATTTTGCTCATATTCTTGCTTGTCACGTTATTTTTAATCAATTTTTAATTTTTTGAAGAAGCAGCTTTCGATTTTATCTTTCTACAATTCTTCATAGTTTTCTTCCTTTGAGGAAAAACGATTGTTGATACTCCATGTTGACCTCATAAAATGGACCTTCCACGTGGTCAATAGAATGCTACTCCATGTATGTTCCTCCCTGCACACGGCACAAACGGTCAAAAGTATATGGCTAATCCCAACGAAGGTGGTAGCGGCCACATACACTCCAACGACCAAATTAGTCGACAATAGACTGTCGTATTTCGGTGGTGACAACTGCCAGGCTTTTTTATATAAGAGGGAGGAGTATATAAACTTAAGTTATGAAGTAGCATTTCCTTGCAAAGGCCAGGCTATCTGGTATTTATAGGAAGAAGTTTGAAAGGAGTATCCTTAGATGTGGGACACATGGACTCATCCGACAGTGCAAGTCGTCAACTCGTATGTGTCTACAAATCATTTCCTAAGTGTGTGGGCATTTAATTTTTTCTGACTTGGAGTTGACACATTGCAGAGATGTCACATCTTAAAGATTCCATGGACGGATCCTTGAACAAAAGATTCGTAGCTTGGGTTGAGGCGTCGGAGAGGTACTTCAACCGTAACGCTTCGGTTAGTCTGCACCGCCTCGAACAATACCACTTTGGATAGTTTGTACCGTCGCTCTCACTATGGCTCAGCATCGGTTCAACGTGTGCCGAAGTGTATTCTGCTAAGGAGGCATAAAACTCTATTTCTTCTCTTCCTCATGTTGGTGACTCAGATGCTACATGGACACAACTTGGGTGCATGACAATACATTACATGGATACTAGGTTCAATCAGTTTCGCACTACAGAATGAATCAAGGGACTAATGGCAACATATATTCATTCTCGATTACATGGTTTGAAATCATAAATGACTTGTCTCCTCTCTTATGATGACTACCCTTGTTAATGTATGAGTGGTGAATCTGATTGATGAGTTTGTTTTACTCACGAGTTTTGCACAATTTTAACTTGATTATTTGCTAAATTTTATGAGTATAGAACATTTTTGATGTGTTTGTTAGTGTTGTTTTGAAGATTAGGAAAGACGGGTGCAAAAAAAGGTACTAAAGTGGACGAAGAAGGCAAAAATAAAGAATTTGGAGTAGAAAGACAGCGCCTAGACGCTGCATTCATAGTGCCCAGGTGCTACGAGACAAAAAAATGAACAATTGATCCAGAGAGGCAGGGTCTAGCACTGCAATCATAGCGTCCAAGCGCTGCCATCAGCGCTTTGGCGCTACATGTAAGTTGTTCACGGCGCTTAAGCATTGACTCCTAGCGCTTAGGCGCTGTGCCTAGATTGTTTAGAGCGTTTTTTTTTTCGCCCGTTTGAAGTCCATAAAAATCTTACTTTCTACACAAACGATGAAGTACCTATGAATACAATTTTCTCATTGAAAGGCAAGAGAACACAATTGAAGAATCAAAAGAGGATTTCAAGGGAGAAAACATCAAGAAATTCACTATGTATAGCATTGATTGAAAGAGGAAGAAATTCTTTGTACAAGATCTACTTTCTTTTACATATTTAATACAAAATCCGGTAATGTATTCCATATGAATCTATGATTTTTTCTTTGTCGTTATGAATAGCTAAATATATTGTTAGGGCTAGTAATGTAACCAATTGAGATCATTTATATATTTTTTTTTATTAAGATTCATATTTATTAATTTTTCCATGTGTTGATTTTATTATGAAGTGAACGCATTAAATTACTTGATCAATAATTTGATAATTTCGTGAATATTTTACGAATATAGATATGAATTTTGTATTTAGACCATGTAGTAAAATTTAGTAAATTAGTATAATGAATAGCGATACATATACCAATTATTGCAGTCATAATTGAATTCCTAGGACAAATAACTCGTTTAACTAAGCTAAATTCGTATAAAAATATGGAACTGAATTAGTTAAATATACTCAATGAGAACGCGAGAGAGGTAAATTGAATGCAATAGAAAAATTCAACCGAACACTACATTTGATAAGAATCTTGATTTAGAATGTAAAGGTGATGAAGATGTAAAATTATTCTGCCATGATATCCATCATTATTTAATTTCTAGACCGACCATGTGTGTATCCACTTATTTTCTCGTATTTAGATTAAAATTCAAATCTTACAAGTTTTTATTTGCTTTCGTCAAATAATGGTTAAGGAAAAATTGAATTAAGTGTTAGACTATAATCCTCGTGGTATCAGCAACCTGGACTCTTGAGTATACTTATTACTTGTTACGATTCATACACTTACGAAAATAAAATTGACAACACTGATCATTTAGCAAACGAGACGTACGTATACTCACATGTGTCGATGGATATAAGACTCAACTAACTACACTCACTGAAGGGTCTTTTTTTCCTTCGAGGAAAGTAGCTTTCAACTTTTCCTTATATTCACAAGGATAGGTGAGAGACTAGGCTAACTTACTGCGAACTGCCATGCCACAGTTGAAGCAGTCATGAACGAGATTTTATCGTCGTTCATAATCATTTGAAGCATGAATTCAGTCAGCACGCCATCTCATAAACAAGTCACCACAAGGAAAATCACTTCGCTTTAATTTAAATTTCTCTTTCGCTCCTCTGCAAACGCGGCCCAAAACAAGATCAGACAGAACATGGGTTTGATAGATCCAGTACCATATATGCATTCACGAGATTCCAGTGAGTTAGGCCCTCTCTCAATAATTCAGTATTTATGGTGACAGTTCACTGTACACAGAACACGGAGGAGGGGACCCTGTCATGTGATCTTCTTCCAATATTGTTTAAACTTGAAGATACAGTAATACTTTCATTTAAAAAACAAACGAGTAATATAGCATAATTCGCAAGTTATTTTTTCTACAACTATTTACTTTTCCACCATAAATGCGCATAAAATAGTGGTACTTAAGTATAGTCTCGAGTTCAACTTGCACATCGCTAACTGCAGTTTACCTTACTAGAACGGGAATAGAATATGTACACATAGTGGCCAAGTAATTAATAGAGATATGACAGTGCAAGGATAAAACTATTAGCAATATCTGGTCCAGAATTGTTGTAGGCCAATACATTGAGCAATTTAACTAACCATAAAAATAAGTATGAAAGTCTACAGATAGGGGCGGCAGCACCTTCCCCACTGCATTTATGTACCCATATTTGACAATAATACACCAAGACATGGCAGTCCCATAATTTATATTCTCTTAAGTAATTCTCAGCACCCTTGCATGTCCCGCCACCGGAGATAAATCAGTCCTGCACGGTAATGAGTATAAGCTCCGGCTACTACAAGGACGTGAAAAAGTTGGTGGCTGTGCCCTGCAATATCGAATTTTCCAGGTATCCACCTCTCGGGAACTCTCATAGCATAAACCAATGCTCCAATACCATAAAATGCTCCCATCAAAACTTCATACCCTGTTGTGTGGAGTGCCTCGGGCTGGTGCCAGAATAAGATGAGCTTGTGCAGAATAGGTGCTGCACCTGACACGCCCATTCCGAAGAAGAGTGCTGCTCGAAAGTTACGATATTCGGGAGTTTGGAATACGGGAAGAAGGGATGCTAAGATTGTACCAAGGCCCAGGAGAGTAATAAATCCTATGTAGAGAGTGCAGAAGACAGGATAGCACATGAAAGAATAATAGACTGGAGGATAAAAGGACGTTGAGATCAAAGCAGCAATCCCGGCATAGTCGAGCCTGAGCATTATGTATGATAAGCGCTCAGAATGACAAGAGAGTAAGTGGCATGTACTGCTTGCTAACAAACAAAACATGGCTCCACCCAGAAAGGCGAAGAAGGGCCAACGAGTGATTGGCCTCACCATCAACGGTGCTATTATATTTGCCACATCCTCCTTCATGCTATGCTGCAAACAATTAAACCATGTAAAATATGTTAACAAGAGACGTTACTATTCTCCAATGTTAAAGAGATGAAGATTACAGCTGCACACAAGAACTAAAAAATAGTGGAGTAAATTGTTGTTCCCTTTCTCTTCTAAAGTAAAGAAATAGGAATAAAAACTTTCCATGTGTGACTTACGTCTGCAATTAAAATTACCTGAAATTGCAAAATAAAACTCTTGAACAATCTCAATTATGGAAAATTTATCTGTAGCTAAAATTAAGTATTATCAATTTGACTCCAATAACTGAAGCTCTATTTAAACTAACAATACAATGCCTACCACCCATGAACCAAGAGAATCTAGAATTTCTTGCATTCACCATGTTGGGTGTAAGATCAAGTCTTGAGTTATGCCCCATGACATGAAGTTTTATATAAAAGCTCATCTTTACCACTTCAAATCAGCACAGAACTCACAATTTCTCACCAAAAGTAGTTACTAGATTGTGCATGAAAACTTCAAAGTTTCAACTTAGCCTCCGTTTGGCAAATTTATAAATGTTTTAAAAAGGGAAATAATAATTGTAGTATTAATAAGTCTCACGAAATGTGTGGATAATAAATGAATAGTAATTATAAATGTGTTGCTGAAATTTAATGTTTCGCTTTGACTAAATTTATAAACCATTTATAAATTGGTTCGCAAAACGAAGGCTTAATAAGAACGACAAATTCGTTCATGCTATGATGCAAATGCCGAAATTACTTCGTTAATAGATGTTAAAATCAAGCTAAGTCATACTACTAATCTACGTTGATAGACAATATGAATGTTTTGGTGCAGCTCCATTAATGCTACATCTAATCATCTACTAAAATGTTCAATAAAATTAAGTATTTTCCTCTCCCTTTTCCAATTTGTTCTATGGCACACCTGTTTGAAAGGGAGCTTCTTTTTAATTCTACACCAAGACATGACACAACCATCTAATTTGTACTTGGTTAACTGACAATTGAACAAATACAATTCATCTACCAGTCAGGATTATAATGAACCTACTAAAAGAAATAACACAAAAACAGAAAATAGAAAGTTCAAGGGAAACAGGGCTGAAAGCCAAGAGAGAAATACGGATGTTTTGATCATCACATTGAGTTACATCCATATTTCTTTGATAGAAGGGACATATATAATTGACCGTACATCATTTTTCAATAAAATTCTGATTAAATCATTAGTTTCTCTTTCGTGATGAGAATAAGTAGCAAATTTGCACTAAAAGGCAGCTGGGTAAATTTTAAGTTAATTAAGATAAAAAAGAATTCACAAGCATGAGCGGCCTTCAACAGATCAACATAGAAACACTAAAAATGTACAGTGAAACTAGATACAAAATGCTGGGAGAGAAGACAGAACAGCTACAGTTGACGATACAAAAGATAGGGCATTGCTGATGTGTAGTATCAAGTAGTGAAGCCAATTTAGTGTTCATTACTACATTGTGATTAATATATGCTGTGTCTCACATGGTAATAAAAGACTGATAGTGTTGAACAGGAAAGCAGTATAATGCAAAAGTACCAGAACGCAAGCATCAGTTTGGTTGCTCGAGAATCGCTCCGGCAAACAGTTAGAGAGGAGTTCCACAATATGCCAATTAGATAATGACGGCAAATCCATACGAGGCAGCAAAGTCTTTAACTCCTCTTGAAGTCTGTGCAAATCAGGCATCTGTGGCAAGGACGGAAGACAATCAATAAGTTCTGTACACAGTTTATGGAAATCGGCTTTTCTCAGCACATCAGGGAAATGTTGCAGGGTTGGAAGGTCCACAACCTTTGGAATCTTCATAGCAGTGTAAATAGTCAGATAGAGGAAGAGGAAGAACCCTATCAAATGCCTGCAAATAGGAAGAAATAGGAATTCAAATGAAGGCCTAATCACATAAACAGAAAAACAAAAGTCATGACAACGCCAGCAGCAGAACATCAATGGCAGAAAGCAATAACAATTTAAAACCACTTATCCCTCAATTCAAGAAACCGCATTCCATACTTATCAAGGGTCCCAAGTAACAATATATCCCTGTTCTAGGGGAAAATGTAGTTCATACACTTCTACAACATGGAAAAGAAACCCAAAAAAATAAGAAATTATGTCAATCTGTCTGTGTCCCCTTCATAACTTGATTGATAAATACAATATATTAAAACAAAACAAATACCATTACATCAAATAACACATTATTCTTGATATAGTTGTTAAGCGAACTGGAAAATGTAAAGATTGGCCTAAACCCTAAATCGGCATGCTGTTGGATCATCTTTCTCAAGCCTTTCCTTTTCATTTCCACACATACAAGAATTCCATTAGTTATAGCATATTGGACAAGTCTGTTGGATGCTCCCTATCATCGTATCCTGGTTGAAGCAGATTATGGGAAGTGCATGTAAACTATGAGAAGCTATCCATTTGTATAGGGCTCTTCAGGAATGACTCCACTCCAGGCTGAAAGTCTGCCCCAATAATTTTCTTAATCGCATGAAAAGAATAAAAGTGAAGGAAAACTTCAAAAGAACACAAAAGTACTTTGACTATGATCTAAAACAACCAAAAATAAATAAAAATAAAAATAAAAAATTCTTTTGTTGACTGTACATGAATGAGTTGAATTTCCATCTCCTCAACAAGGTTGCAAGAAAATGACCGGCTCATAGTGACATTACTCAGTATATCGAAAGCATTAAAATAGCATAACTAGATGTGTGCAAAATCACCATTTTAAACCCATCTGGTACAGTTAATTCTTGAACAACTTTCAAGAAAAGGTGAAAGAGTAAAGGACAATTTGTTGTCCACAAACGACAATTAGGAATAATCACAGAAGAGTCCATGAACTGGCATAGAAAACTGCATTGTACACAAAGCAATCCCACCAACACAAGGAAGCACAAACACTATTGCAAGCTAGCACGCTCCACTCCAACATCAGGGTGTGCAAGTTGGACACTAAGATAACACTCCCAAAAATGTGTGAAACCTCAACGGCACTTGACATAATGAACTTAAAAAACCATCCTTAACCAGACATGTTGAACACATTGTGGCAACATTAGTTTTGGACAGAAAAAATATGGGTTAAGTTACAGATGACAAACTATTAGGTTCAAAGAAGAAAAAATTGCATAAAACGGTAAATATGGTAGAAAAGAATTGGTTAAGAGTGAGATTATACAAGACGTGTGCTACTCCAATGATGTCTGATTGTTTGGCTACCTATAAATCTACATTGTGCTCAAAATTCAACAAAACCATCACCCTGCCTTTAGTTTTTCCCTTTAAACCAGTTTTTTTCAACCCTCATATAGTGAAAGGCATAATTTATCACTTAACATACACATAGTCACAGCACCATTACAATCGCCTCCCCAATTCCCAAACCACCATCCAAAAAGAAAGAAGGAAATGTTACAATCTGTATTGATCTCCATACATATATGGCACTCTTTTACAATCTGTACTGTTCCCAGGTGACTTCGATTTAGACCAGAAATGCATATATGGCACTCTTTGTCTATTGGCTTCCCCAAAATTAAAATTTCTCCATAATCAACTCTATTATGAAATATTACGAAAGAGCGATACAATTATGAAACAACTCAATTTTAATTAAACAGAAAATAGAACTCAATAACATTCAAAATTGCAACAAAAGTTCCAATGTCGGATGATAAAAGTCACCAATATAATAAGAGCAACAATTTTTACAGAAAATAAACAAGAAAAGATGCAAAGAAGCAAAAATCCTTACGTCCAAATATTGAGAGTCTCGTTATGAATAGTGAAAACACTTAGCAAAACCTTCCTTAACGGCCATTCAGACCTATAATGACCAAGAATATATTCGTTGTCCTTCAAAAAACCAGGCAATGAATTGTATTCCACCAGCTGGTACTTCACTTTCTTCCACAATCGCTTCCCTTTCCTTTCCTTTAATGAACAATCCGCCCTCTGATTCTCTTTTGATCCGCAAAAAGATTGCGTTTCCTTACAATTTCCTTGATTTCTATCCATTCTCTGACCTACCCATAAAACATTAAACATAATATATGCATAAAATCGTCATATCAACACTGGGTATCAAGAATTGACGTCCAAACCATAATTTTTCGCAGGCGTGCACTAATAAATTTTATTTATGTAAAGCAATTAAAAGATATGAACACCTGAAATGGAGGAGACAAGGCAACGCCAAGGGCAGACCAAGAAATTAATATTGATAGGTGTCGCCTTTTCAGCGAATTTAATAGAAGTGGAAAACGAATTATATAATTTGCTAATGAGTTTTATCTTTTGCTGAGCGATCAAATGAATTTCGAATTATGCCTGAGAGAGATGCGGAGATGCAGAGAAGATATTTTTTTGGCACGCTACGTGTAAATAAACGATAGTCATAATTTTTATTTGTTAAGTGATATTTTAATTGCAGTTAAATTGACTTGGTAGTGATTAAATTAAGACTCCTTTTGGTACTCATTTTTTTTTAAATGTATTCTTCTCTCTCTTCATTTCAATCACACATTTTTTATTAAAATAATACATCACGTAAATAAAAAAAAATTTCATATTTTTCAACCATACATTTCTCATCAATTTTCTATTCAAAAATGTATTTTTACATAAAAATGTCTCCCAAACACCTTCTAAATTTTTTAGTAGATTGTGATAAAAAAATTTTGAAATGTGTGGTTGAAAAGTTGTCAAATACATGAAAGATTTGACTAATATTGATTGTTTGACTTTAACTTAGATTAAAATCAAATTTTAATCCGTGCCAAACATATTATATTTTTGTTGATTGTAGCAATTATTTTTTTAATTTTTTTAATTCATATTTTGAACCTTCCATTAATTATTACATCTCATCATTCATGATTTATATCAAAATATTTTATTTTTCGTGCTTTTTATTTTTAATTAACTATTATTATGGGCCTATTTGGGAGCGATTTTTTCACCCAAAAAATTGATTTTTTTATTGTTATTTTATTATTTCAGTCGCCATATTTGATTTCTTCTCTCATATGTAGATCCCACTTTTCTCCTAACGATCAAAAAGTCAATTCTCAAAATCACTCTCAAACAGACTCTATGCATTATAAATACCTAAGGGTAAACTATATATATATATATATGATTTAATGAGCACTGATACTTAACTTATTTTAGATATCGGTGACATGATACACTAATTAATTAGTAAATCATTAAATTTACGGGACATATTAGTGTGTCATGACACTGATATTTGCCAAATTACCATGTTCAACATGTTTTATATACTGAATATTATAATCTTCATTTCTTCTTCAAAGAGAATTGAAATGTTGTAATTATTTATTTTTCTAATTGATGTGACTAATATTTTTAGTTGCAGATAAAAAATATATGATTCAATAAAACAAGGACATGTAACAGTGTGTGAGATTTTTCTTTTCTAAAAGAAAGTATGTAAAAGTCAAATAAATTCTATAAAAATCTGTTGAAGTCTATGAAATACTTTTATATTATGCAAAATTCCATGAAAGTAATCTACTTTTAGAAGTTAAAATTGAATGTACCCTACTTTAACATTCGTTGAAGTATGACATCTATTAAAATCAAATCAAATCAAATCTCTTTTTTAGCCCCATGTTTGGTCCTATTTTTTAAAATTCATTATTCTCTAAATTAAAGTTCAATTATACATGTTATAAGATTCCACAACATTTACCAATTTTTTAACCACATATTTCATCTATTTTTATTAAAATTTACTAAAATTTTTATTTTAGCCGCAACAAGGACTAATTAATATTTGATGTCAACAATTTCTGCTTCAATTTTAGTAAAGACTAAGTCTCGGTTTGACATTAATTTTAATGAGTTCTTTTGAGAAAAAATAAGTTTCAGATTAAAAGAATATGTGGTTAAAAAAAGAAAAAAATTTACATTTAGTTGTAAAATATTTTATCGTGTGAATGTAAAATTAAAACTAAGCTTATGAAAAAAAGAATTTTGATTAATGAAGGGGCTAAAGTACTAACTTATTTTGTGTAATTCATCCATCAGAGTTGGATTAGAACAAAATTATTAGGTAACAATGCACAGACTGTTGGAGTTAAATAGTTTGGAACTTTGGTCAGATGCTAGTCAACACACGCTTAGAGGACGTTTAGTGAGAATTAAAATTGAGTAATGCTATTCGTAGTGAAGACTGTCAGTAGTCGCCCTATGTGACATACACTTGACAATTTAGTATTTGATACATATATATAGTAGTTATTTTTTGAATTATACATCAAATGAAAAACTGTCAAGTATACGTCACATAGGGCGATTGCCGATAGTTTTCACTGCAAATAGCATTATTCATTAAAATTAGATTTTCTTTTTAGTACATTGTGATAGAAATTTTTAAAATGTATGATCGAAAAATTGTAAAATTCATGAAAGATGTGATTAATAATGATAGTTTAATGCTTTGACTCTAACTTTGACTTTAATATAAATTAAAATAAGATTTTAATCTAAATAAGCCCCGTGCCGTCATTGAATTGCAATTTTAATTCGAGTAATGCTTGAAATACATAATGGACACCATAATGACGTCCATAATGCCCAAGTATCGACGTCCCCTCTTCCATTATGTTCAAGAAGGCCCCCTCTTTTAATCCACCCCGCAAAGTCGTAAACTATATATCCTGCTATTGGCAGGTAGTTTGGCAGATCTACCACTTTACGTCTCCTCCTCTTAAACCCACCCTACTCCACCCTCATGTTATGTCTTTATATTTATGCTTCATTTTCATGTCCGCATCCTCAGCCCATTAACAGAATTCTTTCTTACAAAATTAGTACAGTAATGGCAGCATAGGAGTTTTTGTTTCTCCTTATGAAATTAAGAAATTGGATGTATACGTTTCTTGGGCATTGCTGTCTGATTTCTTTGTCACGTCTAAGGATTCCTTCCTCATTTATGCATTGAAACATCCCTTCAACCACCCCTTACTTCATAAAACAAAATTTATCCATTTCGATATAACGGTTCATTTGGAAGGAAGGAATCGGCGGAGGTAGTATTATTAAGATGGGGAATTGCCAGGGGGCGGAGGCGGCGACGATCGTGATTTTGCATCCAAGCAACAAAGTGGAGAGGATTTACTGGTCTGTCAGTGCCAATGAAGTCATGGTTTCCAATCCTGGCCATTACGTGGCAATGATAATCAACTCGCCGGCGGCGAAAACTGAGAATTGTACGCCGGTGAAGCAGCTGAAACTTCTCCGACCGGATGATACTTTGCTTATCGGACAAGTTTATCGACTCGTTAGCTTTGAAGGTACAAACGTTATAAAAAAATATATAAACGAAGTTGATATGTTTTAACGATTTCATTTTTTCATTTCTCTTGCATGGCGAAAAGATCTGTTGAAGGAATTTGCAGAAAAGAAATGCAAGAAACTAGGCAAATTGTTGAAGGAAAGAGGAGCTCTCAATTTGGAGCCAAAGAATTCCAATTCCAAATCCAAATCAAAACTAGCAAATTGTAGTTCGGATAAGGTAAATTTCTAAAGTAGGTTTTATATGTAGAGTTTGATTATTTACAAATTTAGGGGCTGTTTGACAAAGTGTTTGATTAAAGTTTTTGCAGATTTTGATAAAATTGTGGGTTTAAAATTAACTTTGGCTTTGATTTTTTTAACAATTTTTTAAGTTATTTCAAACAAGCACTTAGTGCTAAAGAAAATACTGGATCATTTATTCTATTCTTGGAACTGTGGGATTCGTATCTTGATTTGGTTGTCGTGTCTATTCATAAAAGCATGTTTGGATTCAAGAAAAGTGATTCATTTATTCTTTTACATGCGCATCGAAGTAGAAAAAGATCTCTATACCCCAGATCCTGATTTCTTCCTTTTTGCTCAATAGATTCACTAAATTATTTCTCAGAACATGGACATGTTTTGCAGTATGACTTACAGATACTATGTCTTTTTGCTGTTGTTTATTTAGAGATGTAAATTTGGAAGGATCAACTAAGCTCGACTCGTCTTATACTCTTATTAGGCAGAGACATGGTGTCGAGAGTCGGACTCTGCTTAGACCTTAGTTTGAGAAAAAATTATTCAAAATCACTCCCAACTTGGTACTGGGCATATTTCATGATTCGAGTCAAATACGGTATTTATGTTTGATTTTAATATACAATATTATTTGTGTAATAATAAAGTGGTCACATCGGATTTGATCCCAAAGTATTGATATTAAACATAATTTTAACTGGAAAATCGAATATTATGTTGGTTGTTGAACTTAATTAAATCTGCTTCTTTATTAAGCATTTGCTGTTTGGTGCTGAGAGCATAGAGGCACTCATTGTCAAGAATCTATTAGTAAATAAATATTTTTAGTATTTTTTTATTTTTATTTTTTTCAAAAATTTTCTTTGGTTGTCTACCTAGTTTTGTCGCTCAGACCCAGTACCAACATTGTTATGAGAACAGCATCAGCAAATTTTTCATGTATAATGCAATCATGTTGAAGAAAGCTTACTTAATCTGTCATTGCTTAACTCAATAATTGTGCATTTTTGGTAATTCTTTTAATAATTGTACTTCAAATGCCAAAAGGGCATACAGATGTGATTGTGAATGTGAAGGGTTGTATTAGCTTTAACTTAATCTGCTCTTTTGTTTTGTTGAATATTGTTCAATTTATGTGATTCCGTGTTCTTTCTTCAGACGGAACAGGATGTGCAAAACCTCGGTAACAGTGGCGGCGGCGGCGGCGGCGGCAGCAGTGTGGGCAGGCACCATGGCGGAGGAGGGCAGTGGAGACCAACCTTAGAGAGTATTGCAGAAATTAGGTCCTGAACATGGACACCCTACCCCAATTCCTCAACTTTTCATGGCCTAAGCATTAATGAAAACAAATAAAATGTAGTTTTGATTTCTCTTCTTTTCGTTCTATTGCTTTTTCATAATGGGAATATGATATGATGGTATCCTTTGGATTACCTCTTACTTGGTCCTTACTAATGATGTTTTGTGTTTATTTCTTTAAACTTTTAAATTCTAAATCGAGACATAGCATACAAATTGTGACAATAGGGATGTATCAGTAGAATTCTTTTGTGATTCATGTTGACGTGAAAAAATAATTATATTATCGAGTGGACGAATGTAATACACTTAAAAATCATTCATCAAAATATGCATCAATCGTATATGTAAGAGCAGGTTAAGCCCGTGTCTATTTCTGATTTTCTACCCGATTTTAACCTTTTTTATTTCATTTCAACCAGCTTTTGTTGACTTCCTTCTCAAAGGTGCCGTCACTTCACTTTGACAATGGTGCAAAAATTGCTCTTAATTTTGGAAAAAAATTGTTGCCAGACAAGGGCTTAATAATAAATTTATAGAGTCATGAGTTGGTCTATTCATGCAGGATCTATGTGTCTATACGATAAAATTGGACTTGACATTGAAATCAACCCCACTTTTGGCCAAGGCCAAAAATAGGGTTATAAATGGGCGTCCCCTGTTGGAGGGTTGGCTATTTAACGGCCTTGGGGCTTTTTTTGCATTGAAAATGAGTTATGACACCGTTTGATTGTCATAAATTTCATTACATTACATTCAATTTTGCTATCTTCTATTTTCAATCATACAATTTTTCATAAAATAATATTATATGTAAATCGAAAACTTTTCTTTCCTTTTCAATCACTTTTGAATTTTTCTTTCTTTTTCAACCACTCATTTTTAAAAAAAATACTAATTCACCCATTTTTATTTTCCGAAAATGGGGATCAAACGGGGGCTAAATTTTGCAATATTAGGTTATTCGTTGATGTCATAAAGAAATTATAATGATAAAAATACGTTAATCATTAACATTACATTTTTTGTTAAAAAGACTATATTTCAATTACAATTAACATTCACAATTTTTACTTATTTCCCATCTGTGTGTCAACTTTTTTTTAATATCTATAATTGCCAAATATATTTTTGAAGAGAGAGCAGGCGCGGGTATTTTTTTTTCCAGGTCTTTACACCTTTGAATCTTTGATAACGTTAAAGAACGAATCAAATCCCTAAATTGCTAATAATTTTAGAATCACAACTTATCAATTTCAATAGCCGAACCAACGTAAATATGCCCATCAATGATGAATTCCACTAAACTTCAATTCACTTCGACCATAAACCCGAACCCATGGCCTCTGCAAGTCTATCAGCTTGCAGCATTCTATGGCTTCTCTTCGTATCACATTCATTCTTGCCATCCGTTAGCTTCACCGATGAACTCTGTTTAGGTAAGCTTCTTTGACATCTTTTTTAGAATTGGGTTTAAGGATAAAAAGAAGACATCTTTTAATTGTGGGGCTCTCAGTTATTGGATAAATACTTGGCTAGTAATTTGATTGACGAAATTTGAATTATGTTATGGGTGTGGTTTAGGTTTAAATTTGTAGGGTTTTGGTTTCCTATAGTAAAATTATTGCTAATTACGTATTTGTACGTACTACTTTTAGAAAATTTAACTTTTAATTACTTTTAAGCATGGGCAAACATTCTAAAGTTAGGCAAAGAGATCCAATGGACAGGGGAAAAAAAGTTATATCCATATGGTATGTTTGATAAGGTGGATGGATATTGGATAGTAATAGGCAGTATGGAAGTAGAGAAGGAAGTTAGAATCTTGTTTAGTGTACTGTTGAAAATTCCGTTCAGATTTGCATGCCAAACATGTCTATCCTTTATATGAATGTATAGAACTTACGAACAGTATTATTCTGTTAATTGCGGTTGATTTGCTGTTGTATGGAAGTGATGTACATGTACTTATGTGGTTGGTTTTGGGCATTTGAAAACCACGCCATGGTCCTATGCTTGTTTGCTTTTCTCTTGAAATATTTTCTCTCTTGTGGAATATGATCCACGGCCTGCACTAAATGACTCTCGGATCTATGCAATTCATATTGATACATACAAAATATTATCCTCTTATTACAATGGGATCTGTCGAATGATTATCATCTTACTGAGCTGGAGACATGGTATTAGGGATATATATTACATACATAAAGCCAGACATTTTGAGTTGGGGGATCCCCAAATTAACATGCAAAAGAACTTTGAAACAAAATAACAGTGATGGAATTTTTGATACCTTATTTCAAGCATTCGCTACGAATACTTTGATATCATTTGTACAGTTACATGATTTGTAATACTAGAAGGAGGAGACTTATTTAATCATTACCAATATTTCTCCATCATTGTTTACCATTTAGGGCTTGTTTGAGCCACATTTCTTTTGTGAATGTATTTTCGAATGGTAGATTAATGGAGAAAATGTGGTTAAAGAAAAAAAAAAGTTTTGGGTTTGCGTATAATATTATTTTATTGAAGAATGTGTGGTTAAAAAGAAAAGAGAGAAAAATGTATTTTGAAAATAATATGAATTAAACAATCACTTAATTTAACAATCCACATACAAAAAATAATAAACAAGGCTGACAAGACCACAATCATATAAGCAGAAAAGGCCTCAATCATTTCTAGTAATTCAATATATAAGCAAGGGCAAGCCATTGGTCACCTGAGAAATGAGCCAAAATTCTGAAATGACACAACATTACACCTCAAGAACTCTCGATAGACATTCACAACTTTGCGATCCTGCATTCATTAACTAACCAGCTAAAACTTTCGCATACATACAAAAAAGAATTTATAGTCTGTACCAGTGGCAGTAAAAGTCTGGGAAAATAATAGTACAAAACTTCCATTATACTATACATACATTATAAGGAAAATGCAAAATGAAAAGCAGAATCAATAAAAGAAAATAAGTGTGTTGTATCCATATGTAAAAACTCTAAACTGCAGCGAAAGGTGGTTAATAATTATACCTAAGCAGCAAAATTCAGTAATGGCAGAAAAATTTTCTGAGCTGTGGTGGTCAGGTAAAGTCACAGTTGGGTTTTATTGCAATTGAGGATTTTGATTGTGAAATTTAGGGTTTGGGTTGAAAAATTTTGGGGAAATTTCGGCATGGGAGGGGGTAGAGACGATGAGCTAGAGAGAAATATGATGAAAACGGGAAGGTTATATAGTTGGATTGAGAGTGCTGTTTGAGCCAAGTGATTTGGACACGATGTGGAAGAGAATTGGGCCCAGATACTTTTTATTACTAAAATTAAATAACAGTAGAATAAAAAATAAAAATAAAACAAATTGCAGAAAGTTTGGGGGAATCCCCTTCATTCAGCCCCTGCATATATTGTGTCAAAAAAGCTTGTATATTTATGTATATATAACGTTATATTTATAGAGTTTCTATATATGCATGCACATCAGTGTATGTGCGTGTCCGCCAATGCTTGTATATTAGTCTGTCTCTAAGCTTATGTTTTTAGTTCTGCAGTTATTTTCGGTCTGCCTCATTGCAGCTATCACCAAGCTTGATGGTGGAGAAATCCCCAGAGTCCAATGCAGGAACTAATGTGAAATGTGAGAGAGTTCATATTTAAGGCTTTCGCAGGCTTAAACATTTGAGCATGTTTGCCATTTCTGTGAAGGTAAAAGTTTCATATGTAAATCCAAGTGGCCGACCGCCGAATGTCGAGATCTGTTTCCACAGGTTTGTCTATATATATAATGCTAAATCATTTTGTTCAGTGTAAAGGAAATTGCTTGCTTCATGGAATCTAGTTATAAACTATGCTGACTCAATAGTAAATGGAATTGCTTGCTTAATTGGAAATCTATTTATTTTGTATCTAGTTTTTTATGTGTTCCAAATCCAATTTTTCGCATGACCTTATATACTGACAAATCTTTCCTTAGTTTATTTAGTGTGCATTTGTACTATTGATAATGGGTTGCTTTTAGTAACTCGTATATCTTGAATCCGTATGTTTGTTATTTTTCATTATAGTACCTCAATTCTTCATCAAATCTAAGTTTAGGAAGTATGTTAAATCAGCAGATCGGCAGATCCCAATTAAACTCAGCTGTACAAAGCCTTATCCCCGTACTTATCTTTGATCAGGTGTATTATATAGATTCTCTTCTTCCACTCTTCTGTATAAAGAAATGAAATCAATTGAATTCTAAATTCCCAGATATAAAGTTTGGTTATAATTTGTTTTTATCTCTCGCTGAAACTTATGCTGCATTTTGTGGGTCTAAAACATCTTTTCCTCTCTCTTCTTATAGATAATATAGGTTTCAAAAGCAATTTTCAAATTAATAATTTTGATGCAATCACCTTTTCATAGATGTGCATGCGTCTGTATTTAGAGTACCAATTCACAGCTATATTTAACCTTACAGCAATGTGTCCCTTGGGATAGGGATGTGTCCTCAAGGTCAGTGGGAGAGACTTACTAATGGTTTATAGGTTGGATCAATGTGACCAAAATCAATGTCACTCTTTGGTCACCAGCTCTTAGATATACGGATGGGAGCTGCTTCTTCAGGAAGTCTCCAGGTGTCCCTTGATGAAGGTTTGTTCCTCTCAAATCATTTTCTTCTTCTATGGATAATTTTCTGTTTCTATTTTAATACATGTTTTGGCGTACTTATATAAATTTGTGTTTTATTTTGCAGAATTTTTCTTATACCGCAAGGTATTTTTGGTCTTGGGGATAATGATGATAACTCTTGCTTCCTGGCTCAGCAAGTCTCTAGTATTTTACTGTAGTAGTGCAACGTCAGTAGGAGTTCTTCTTGTGATATTGGTGATTCTTTTCCAGGTAGGTCCATTAACTTTGGGACTTTCAGATCATTTTGACATTTTTACTGCTACCAGTTATCTTATTTTTTATACGAAAGGCCTCTAGGCCATGATTGGTATGGTTTTTTCCATGCATTTACATAATAATATATTTAGGCCATGCTTCATTTAAGGTGACTTAAGGACCATGAGTTAAAATGCCTGTGTGGATACTCTTAGTTCATAGAAGCTCATCATTGTGTAACTGTGTTTTGACTTTTCGTGTTTTGTTTACTTAACAGGGAATGAAGCTTCTTCCAACTGGTCGGAAGAGTTCTCTGGCAATATTTCTGTATTCATGCTCTTTGAGTACTGTTTCTCATACATACTGCACTTTCTTTTGAATATCGATTTCTCTCAATGATGGTTACTTTGGTTCAATTATTTTATTTAGGTCAGCTTATGGGTTTTCCTTCTTGACTATGTGCCAAGATTGTTGCGTTCAGTACTTCTAGAGATTGGAATCTCTCAAGACATGTACAATCCTGTATGTAAGTTTCTTATTTATTTTAGTTTCTTGCACATACTTTTTCTAGCATTGAGTTAGTGAATTGATTGTCTTAAAGCCGAATAACTTTTGTTCCATTACATTTGCCTCTTTATAGGACAAATTTCCACACATGTAGTGCAAAAATTACAATTGAATGTTGCCAAGTCTTTTAGTTATGTATTCAAGTTTTCCCTTTGCAGACTAGGTAGAGTTTGCTTTTTGTGATTGACATGCTCACAGTGAAAAATTTCTCTCTAAAAACAAATTAAATGTCACGCATCAAACTTAGTTTTACATACGAAGTCTTTAAACAAAGTTCCTGTATGAAAATAATTAGTTGAGGGAAATATGTACATAAGCTTATATTATTGTGAAATTCGATACTTCTTATGTACAGCCAAATAATAGTTTCAACAAATTAGTTATACTTCCATTTTTACACAATGATAACATTTTTATTGCTTGACACGGCACCTTTATTTCTTAGTTTAATACATGTTGAATCAGAAGGATTTGTATCGGATGCTTCCATAACCACCTGTAGTATTGAAATCTAGGTCTATCAGTAGCAGTCACTATGGCCACAAGACACTTACCGTCCACCTGCTCATATTGCTCCTTCATGGCTTGGGTTAGGAGTTTCTTAAGTTGTATTTAATATGGGTAAAAGATATGAATAGTTATGAGGATATGTAATGCTTGTCTACTTTACAGAGGCCATTATCTAGTTAAAGAAAAGTGAAAGTATCATATTCTGGTTCAATAAGTCTTATGAACACAGCATTAGAAATTCTTAATCTGTAGGAGAGTAGGTGATTTTAGTTAACAGATTATCCTGTAATAATCATCTCCTTAATCATTTCCTTATAAAATTGTTTTTTCACTTCATATATAACACTGCTTTCATCTTTGGAATAAGCGATATTTTTCTGCTCATGATAATTTCTTCTATGTGTTGCTAACATCCAGTGCTCACGTGGTGCAGCTGGCAATATTTCTGCTTGGTTTCTTGCAATTGCTGGAGCTTGGCTGGGTTATTGGATTGTTTGCAAACTTGTACTTACAGGGGATGAATCTATTGATATTGGTGTATCTCATTTTGTTGTCTGGTCAATTAGGATTGTTGCTTCAGTGCTGATCCTTCAGGTTTTGCGTTAGATTTTTGATTTCCATTTGACGGAGTTTCATTGAATCTATTTTTGGTGGGAAGTAATGAATGATGCGTTTGTGCTTCAGAGGTCTTATGATCAATTATTTGCAGTGGAGGATTTGGTAGGTGGAATTTTTTTGTTTCTGCAGCTTTGAAGAAATTGAGCAAACCAAAGGTCATTCATCTGGTTTACAAGTGAGTTCAAGTTATAATTCTCATGCAAAATAATCCCTTTTTCTGGTTAAATTTGGTTATAACCCAATGGCGTGATATTATCCCCTCAAAGAAGTGTCTCCGGAATTCACTCTTGCTACCTCTGTCATAGTAGCATATATATAGTTGGGCATCTGTCATACATTTATTTTTTACTTTTCTATGTTCCAATGCTATTATTAGATTTTTCTTTTTTCTTTGACATGCATATAATTTGAGGGACTCTTACAGAAAATTGTGTAGATTAGAGATAAATCTTGGAAAATCTCTGGATCCCTATGCATCAAATATTGATGAATCCTATGTTAACAGACCTTTCATCAAATCTCCACATACTCCTCTTCAAGGTTAGCTTTACTTTCAACATGAAATATCTGCACTGATGAATTGATTTGATGAATCTCTGAACTAACTTCTTTTTCATCTTCCTCTTTTGCCCATTTTTCGTCACTCTTAGGTTCAAGAGGGCGAACACTCCATATGACTACGCTTTTCACCAGCCAGATTGTTGTACGACTATACAAGTATATATTGTTTGGCGAATAATGCTATTTACAGTCGCTCACTATCGCAGTCGTCCTCATGGCATACATGTAACGTTTAATAATTTGATGCACAAGACAATAAAAAAAATTATCATATTAATACATCAAATCACTAATCGTCACATGTATGTCACTAACCGTCATATGTATGTCACATAAGATGATTATAACAATGAGCGACCGTAAATAACATTACTCTTGTTTGGTACATATGTTCTCAATTAACCCATGCATTTTTACATGTTGACCCCTATGCAGCCCGACCAACACTTGACTAGGCTTAGCTATTGACTTTCAGGAAGAACACAGTTCACTGAGAAGAAGTATGTTTCGTCTATATAATTCAATTGAAATTAACCTTTCTGTAATCTACTGTAGTAGTAGGGATCTATGAATTTTTGGTTTTCTTCTCTCTTCTCCATGTTATAAGGACTTGTATTTGTCCAGGGATCTAGCTTGTTCGGTGTCTTGAACATTTTCAGTACACGATTCAATTGGTGCGGTTGTCACCTCTTTCCTGCTTGCTTATCTTAGTTGCTTGTAAAAATGGACTAATCTTTCGTATCTTGGTGTAAAAATGGACTATACTTCTCACGTTAAAAAGATGGCACTGCATTATTGTTCAGCAGGCATCAATGGTCTCTTTCTGATTGTCGCCTGTGTGTACTTTATCGAATTGGACAATTAGTCATATTTGGCAAGGCTTAAATAACTAAAAATAAATAATTCACTTGACCAAAGGTCGTTTGGCAAGACTTTTGAAAAGTCAAACGATGTTTTTGAGATTAAGAAGTTCTTGAATCTGTTTGGATGGATTTTTAAATATGTTTGTTTGGTCTAAAGTAAAATTTTCATGATATATTATAAAAATAAAAAACAAAAGTAGTGTCCTAAGAATAAATGAAATAAATAACATGAGTTTTGTTTAACCTAACAAGCAACAACTAAAAATAACTAAACAGATAAAAATGGCATCTACCATAATATGCCATTGTGCAGTGGAATCTTAGGCCACAATCGGAAATATCTCTATCGTGGGATGGATGATAAGAGATGTTTCCACAAAATAATGTTTAAAGTCTATCCAGGTCCATGGTGATCGTCAATTGCAAATTGTAAGTCAAGCACAAAGAGAACGACATTACTATCATATTTTCAAAAGGTTTATCCTTTGACAGGGTGATTTGAGTGTTGTCCTAGTTATTATTGCTCTTTGCAATATCGAGAAACGACATAATTTGAATCGCACGAAAAGAGAAAAGCAAGTTAAAATAAAGTTGACAATTAATTTACTGTACGTCGTGTCGTTATTCACCAATAATTGAATATATATTCAAAACTTTTCTTGAGTGCAGTCTAGTTAATCGAGCATAGCCACAGATTTGCATGGCTTCATAAAATCATGACTTGATACATAGGCAGCTGACCCACTCAAAAAAAAAAAAAAGGAGCCTTGTGGGGCCCCTGAAAATTTAAATCGTATTAATAATCTCTTGCATGTATTCTATATATTCCAGTAATGATCTCATAAGCATCGGTGCTTAGCTTATATTAAGCACGGATGACATGACATATCATTTAATTGGTGAATCATTAAATACATGAGACGTATCATTAACTTATTCACCAAATTAAATGGTGTGTCATGTTATCGTTGCTTAACATAAGTTAAGCACCGATAATTAAGAGATCATTTTCCCCATCCCTTCATATACTGAACTTCACCAGAAATCAGGTTCTATTCAATTTAAGTACGGACAGTTCCATCTCTCACCTTTGTCCTACGTGCATTATCATGTACTAAGTTTCCTGTCCAAAAATAATTGGTCTTTACCTTATAAACTGACGGCCAATCTCGTTGCAGAATCATGGGCTTTGCAAATTTAAGAACCCAGTTTTATCCGCAAGAAAATGAAGGAACTTGGTCGATTTCGCGCTGTTGCAACATGCTGACTCAAGTAAAACTGCAAACCAGACTGCCTGATTTGATGGTAAAAGGCAACAGAACAAAACTTTCATTGAGGTGTTGCAGAAGAATTAATGGCGGAAGTGGTGCAACAGAGGGTGGTACGTTTGAGGAGGAGGAGATGCTGGTGAAGAAGATGAGGGAAGCTCAGCCGTTCTTTGTGGCGCATCGGGGTTGTACCTTCGTGGTGATGGTGTCAAGCGAAATTATTGACAGCACCAACTTGTCTTCAATTCTTGAGGTACCTCTTTGGCTATGGGCCACTTTAAATTACTAATTCCTATGTCAGTGATATTCCTATTTTTTTTTTTCCTTTCTTTTTTGTTTTACGTTTGATTATAATAAATTATCAAATAAAAATGTGAAATAGTAAAATGCTATTGAATATTCGTAATCTTCTGCTTATGGAAAACGTTGATGGTTTTCTAAAGTAATAAAATATTTATTATCCACAAATAGTCGATAAATAAAGAATTGGAAAAAAAAAATTGTAGGCCACGTGAATCACATGCAATAAACCCTTTCACACAACGCAAGAGCCTGACTAGAATTTTTCTTTTTCATTTTTTTTTCTGGAAAGGCCAAAATAATAGAGAAAGTAACAGGGGTGTATTCAATTGAGATTTTTACTGACTTTTTGAGATTTAAAAAGTTCAGAGGTATTCAATTGAGATTTTTTAAAACTCTCTAAAAATCACGATGAATCAATTGAGACTTTTAAATACTTTCAAAAAATTTCTAAAAGTTACGGTGTATTCAATTAAAGCTTTTAGAAGTCTCTATAAATTTTAGGGTATTTAAATTTTAATAACTTCCAGAGACTTTTATAAAAGTCTCTGGAGTACTAATTTTTAAACACAAAGTACTCATATAAAATTTTAAAATTTGTCTCTTATTAATCAAGAAATTTTGGGAGAATTTCACCAAAAAAATAAAAAATAAAAAAAATCAAATTTTTTTTCCTTTAACCTTTTTATGGATATGTATGATTAAAATTTATTTTTTTAATTGATTATATTTCATTTATCTTTCTCTCTCTCGTATTATTTATCTCTATTTTAAATTTTCTATGAAAAACTAAATTAGATTCTTGTAACTTTTTTTTCTTTTTTAATTCATTTTTTTTTTGTGAAAAATATCTATTTTTTAATTAAATTAAAAAAAATTATATGAATAATTATAATTATATTTAAATATATTGATTTTTAAAAATTACTATACTAATAATATTGAATCATATATAATTTTTATTATTATTTATTTAATCAACGTCTTAAATTTATTTATTTTCAAATTTTTTTTATTATATGGGAAGAAGAAGGAGAATTGTGGAAACTAAGGGTGTGTTTGATTACATTTATTTTCCATGAAAAATATCAGTTTTCCATTCAAATTTTCACTTTGAGTGTTTGATTGCTATTTTTTTCCATGGAAAACATTTTCCAACTTTTGAAAATATGCCTAATTTTCCTTGTTTTTAAGGAAAATATTTTCCTTGGGTAGAGGTGGTTTTTATTTTCCACAAAAGATGGAAAATATTTTCTTTTCTATGTAATATTTTCCATGTCAATCAAACACACCCTAACATCCTATATGTGAAAATTTCACACAAGATTTACATGATTTTCATTTCAAATAAAAGTTTTCAAAAGTCTTTTGAATTCTACAAAAGTTAATAAAAATTTTAAAATGAAATAACTAATTTCGTACCAATTTATAAAACATCCATGGAATCCATAAAATTCACGTAAGTCTTAAAGTCCAATTCAATACACACCAAAGAAAAAAGTTCCGCCTCTCAACAACCCTCCGCAGACATTGCCGACGGGGGCCTTAACGATAATCAAGGTTTTGTTGGTTTATTAATCCTATTCAAAACCCTAAATTAATGGCAGTTTCATCTTCGAGCTTGTTCATTCGGTTTCAAAACTACCAAACAAAATCAATTTTCTCCCGAAATGCTATTTGGAGGTCTAAAACTAACTATGAACCTCAATTCTTCAAAAGATTGGGCGGAAACGAATTTTGTAACGGCAGTTTGGGGAATAGAATGAATGTTTATAGGAAAACAGAAAGTGCAGGAATGGAAGCTAGTAGTGCTGTTAAAGACGAGATGTTCGTGGGATTCTTCCGTGAAGCCTGGCCATATTTTCTTGCTCACAGAGGCAGCGTTTTTGTTATCGTGATCTCTTCTGAAATTGTCGATAGCTCCAACTTAGATCCCATTCTCATGGCACGTCTTTTCTTGAAATTATTTCGTTTGAAGTTTTTATCGATCTTGTATTTATGTTCGTTAGCTGCAAGAATTGAAATTGAAAAAAAAAAAAAAAAGGATTGATTTTTTTTGCGGCATTTGCAAATATAATTTGCGAATTAACTTGTAGGATATTTCTCTACTACATGGGCTGGGAATCAAATTTGTTATTGTGCCCGGGACCCATGTCCAAATAGACAGGCTTCTGGCTGAAAGAGGTAATCAAACTTTACTGCTCTATCATCCTCTTTGTTTGTCTAACTGCGAATTTAATGTACTTGTATGTAACTAAGCATCTTTAACACTCAAGTTAATTTACTTTCTATCCCGCAATATTCTTTTGTTTGGTGATTTATCATTGTTGCAAAGTGTTCTATCTGGTTTATTCTTATACATGACCCTTCCCTTCCGTTTTAGTTCTTGATAGTTGGTCACTTGGTCAGTACTTATATGTCATGTTCCAGGATGTCAACCCAAGTATGTGGGTAGCTACAGAATCACGGACTCTGATGCTCTTAGTGCTGCAATGGATGCAGCTGGGAGAATTCGAATCATGATTGAGGCCAAGTTATCCCCGGGGCCTTCCTTGAGCGGTATCCGCCGCCATGGAGACAAAAGACAGTTGTATGATGGTGTCAGTGTTGCTAGTGGTAATTTTTTAGCAGCTAAGGTAAGAATGCTGATATTAACACTTGAGGGTTGTACGCATTTTTAAGTTATTTGATGCGTTTTTTTGTATGGTTTTTCTCAGAGAAGAGGAATAGTTGAAGGAATTGATTATGCATCAACTGGTGAAGTTAAGAAAATAGATGTTTCTCGCATTCGTGAAAGGCTCGATCAAGATTGTATTGTGCTTCTGAACAATCTCGGTTATTCAAGTTCTGGAGAAGTATTAAATTGCAAGTATGCTACATGGCTTTTGATAGGTAGTTTTGTTGCCAGTTTGGGGATAAGCACGAGAGTTATGTTACTTTGTGGGGCTTGCGCATTCTGTAATTAATACATAGCAAACATGGATGAAGATGGATATTTTTAGTTCCCATCTTGCGTTATTTTCAAAATCTATGCTTTTTTCCCTTTTTTTTATTTTATTATTATTATTATTTTTTTTTGTTCTTGTAATTTAACAAGAGTCTGATATTTCCTTTCATTGAGTTTTGTTAAACCAAAGGACACAAGTTGATTTATTTGTTTGTGGAACTCTTTTATGAGGTTTTGTTTCTGTAATTCTTTTTAATTTCTACATGATTAACTGTTGTAGAAGTATATAAAACTCTGCTTTGTCATCTACGGTGATTGTACTGAGTGGTTAAGTCGTGGGAACCAATGATTTCTGCTTCTCTACTTCGCAGCTCGTATGAAGTTGCCACAGCTTGTGCCATGTCTCTTGGAGCAGAGAAACTCATTTGCATGATAGATGGACCAATTCTAGATGATTGTGGACGACTTATTAGTTTCTTAACTCTTCAAGATGCAGACATGTTAATTCGCAAGCGAGCTAAGCAAAGCGAGACAGCTGCTAATTATGTAAAAGCTGTTGGTCAGGACGATTTTGCTTGTGTACCATATTATGATTCAAATGGAACAGCCCCTTCTCAAAACAGGAAGGCTTTTAGTGATAGGTATATTCCAAAGTTTCAGAATGGTGTTGGTTTTGACAGTGGAAATGGACTTTGGTCCGGTGAACAAGGTTTCGCTATAGGAGGTCAAGAAAAACTCAGTGGATTAAATGGATACCTCTCAGAATTAGCTGCTGCAACCTTTGTTTGCAGAGTAAGTGCCCGCTATTTAATGACATGATGGTCTTATTGAGTAACCAATTATTTGATCTGCTAAATGAAACATCTCGCCCTGTGTCTGTAAAGCAATCACTCTGTTTTCTATAAGTTGTTGGCAGTAGCTAGATTTTTATCCTCTGGTTATATATTATTTTAAGAAACACCACTGGCAAACAAAACTTGAGGGAACGTGGAAATTATTCTAGTGATACCATTCCATGATTACAACTTTCATCAATATGTGGCTTAATTATGACATAGCATAGCAAATTTTTTTCTGCCATTCAAGGTGGATATCAATGTTATTTGCCATATATGTTCATATATTTTTTAAGGCTCCCATTTCTTTCTAAAGAAAGGGCAGAAGGTTGCCACGTTTCATTAATTCTATAATGCCTCTCATGGTATATTTCTGGAGCAGTCCTAATAGTGATATTCTATTTATCATCAGGGAGGTGTGCAAAGAGTTCATCTTTTAGATGGGACTAATGCTGGAGTTTTATTGAAGGAATTGTTTCAAAGAGATGGAGCTGGTACGATGGTGGCTAGGTATGCATACTTCTTTGGCAGATGACTTCATAAATTTTCTTTAAGCTGAATGGACAGCCATTTCCATGAGCTAAATCTGATCGTCAGGTGCTCAAATCAGCTGGCATTCAGTCTACTGCTTTCTATATTGTCCAATATGCGACAATGGGGTTTCAAGGCATTTAGAGAGCTTTAGTGGATTCCATTCCACCGAAACATTTAGATCCTGTTATTAACAAGTCGCTCTATGCACAAGTTCACACCCCGCCCATTCTAGAACAAATATGATCTTTACAGGCTAAACATGCATTATTATTGTTTCCAAATTCAGTTACAAATTTTAAAATCTTTTTCTTTCGCTCAATCATCATCATTGTCTCTCTGATTTTACCTGTATCACTGTAAGAAATAGATACACCGTGTAGAAGCCATATGTCCCCCTCTCTTCCCCTCCCCCACATCAAGAGTGCCCCCCCCCCCCCCACTTCAACAAAAAAAGGAAGATATATAAAGGATTAAGGAAGTTGTTTGGATTAGTTATAGTTAACGATTTTGTACTGACATATGGATTGACTCCATTATGCAGCGATCTTTATGAAGGAACACGGATGGCTACAGTTGCAGATCTCCCTGGAATCAAACAACTTTTGCAACCTTTAGAAGAGTCTGGGACATTGATAAGAAGGACCAAGGAAGAGGTTTGCTCCTGTAATCATAATTTAATTTTTTATATGCATTACACCATTTGTTCAATTGCTCATTATCATATATGTATTTTAGCTGCTCAAAGCGCTGAATTCATTCATAGTCGTTGAAAGAGAAGGTCAAATTATAGCCTGTGCCGCTCTTTTTCCTTTCTTTGAAGACAAGTGCGGAGAGGTTGCTGCTATTGCTGTTTCTCCTGAATGTCGAGGGCAAGGACAAGGAGACAAATTACTTGGTATGACGTAAATAGCTTTCATTTTGATCTCTCTTCCAGTAAATGCGGGGCAAAGTTCATTTATTTTTTTATCGTTTTAACTACAATTAGAAAAGCAAATACAATATGAACTTCTAAATTAAAACCCCCAATAATTAATAACCTCTGACATTTAATAAAATTTCATGAAACTGACCGCGTTGTAGATGCATAATTCAATGTTTCTTCTATCTAATAATTAACACAAAATATCGAAACAAACTAAAATTAATTAGTAAAATCATGTTCCTTGGAGAACCATCCTTGCATTTAATTTTTTACTGGATATGTATATCAAGCTCATTGGTAACTCACAAACAATAAATATATAAGTCTAATTTAGCACGATGAACACTTTCTAATTACCTAGAATTATGTATACATGAAATAATTTTTTTAAGTAGATGTTCTACAAATTAATAACTTTCACTGATTAATAAATTATTGTGCAATGGATCATATTAATGTGGAGAGATAGAAACTAGAGACAAGCATATATCTAACAGAAGAAGCTCTAGGTGTTTTTAGTAGTGTGCTTTCAAGAAAGAGAGCTCTTTTTGTTGATGCAAAATTTTTTGTATGGTAGAAATTTAGGTACCTCCATTTTTATAAAAAATGGCTAACAGCTGGAACACATTCTGCTCTGATCCTTTGGAAGTTCAGAACCACCAAAAGGGGCATTTCCCATTTTTATAGAAACTTCTATACCAGAAATTATGTGCTTGTTTGTGCCCCATTATTTGTGAGTAATGTATTATGTAATAGTGATTGATGTTGAAATGTGTGGTTAAAAAAGAATGAAAAGTTTTTTATTTACGTGTAATTTTATTTTAATGAAAAATGTATGGTTGAAAATGAGTATTATAGAAAAAATAATGTAGTAGAATGTGGAAAAATGGTAGACCTTCTGTTGATTGTGGAGGGAACACTCCGTTCTACAATCTCATACACCACAGTCTCTCCTTGTATCCATGCAATGGCTCTGATTCGAGTCTTGTTCCTCATCTTCTTGGTAATCTCTTTCAGCGCCCCCCCCCCCCCCCCCCCCCCCCCCCCAAAAAAAAAAAAAAAACCCCCATAGTAAGAAAACCCGTCCCTTTGGGTCCCATCCAAAATGTTTGTGGAACAGCCAATAATATCTTTCTTTTGACACATATCTGCATGGAGTGGAATAGAGTAGGTGAAATTTCTGAAAGTGAGGTGTGTTTGAACCTGGTTATCTAGGATTCTAGATATAGTTCTATGAAGTTCTTTGGATGCACAGATAATAAACCCCATTGTCAATTATATGCAGATTACATTGAGAAGAAAGCATCTTCCCTTGGACTGCGAATGCTTTTCCTGCTGACAACACGAACAGCAGATTGGTACGTGTTTCTGGTTCCAATGCTGTGACGTAATGTGCTCTGACTGTACAAAATAGGAACATCAATACATATCTTAGTTTCCACTCTTAGACTCCAATTAGCTTCAAAGCAGAATTTTACTTCTGTAACAAACTGGCTTTATCAAGAAGTCACGCCGTAGCATAAACAACCTGAGTAGAGAAATGTAGAAATATCACTGTTTTCTGCATCAATACCTTGTAACTGGATGTATAGGGTTATATAGACCTTTTGCAACCATTTAGTCGTAAACCTCCCCAAGCCACCCACCCGGTCATTGCTACAAAAAAATCGAATAAATAAATAAATGAACATGAAATGAAAAAGGAAGAGAATTTTTATTAATTATCCACGTGCAATAATGAAGCTGAAAGGAAATCTGGCAGCAAATTTGGACAACCAGCCGCCTATATTACTAGAAAAGCAATTCGGATTTTTCCTTTTCTTCTTTCTTGATATCCTTTCCTTCGGCAATATTTATGTTTTTCCATATTATTTCAATATTCACTACCATCCGTGTGCGTTGTAGTAGGGTGGGCATGGTGGGTTAGGAAATGCCTCAATAAACCTAGTACCTATGTCGTGCTATTTGAACTTTTTACTACTCGTGTATATTCTATTGGGGTGGGGATGGTTCGTTATGAAATGGCTTGATAAACCTAGATGGGTATATCCCATGTAGCGATTGTTGAACTTCTACTCTAGTACTGAGCTTAAGTTTTGCTGTATAAAAAGCCGAACAAGATCGAATATATGATGTCGGGTTTGCCAGCCTTTAGAGATACTGTTCCTAGTCCACTGGTTTGAAGCATTAGTTACATTCTGAATCCCAAACTTTACTCGGGCATGAGTCTGGTAAGGTGGCTGTTTCATATCCCTCCCTTTTCTAATAACAGTTCCTTGTTCAAACAGGTTTGTAAGACGTGGTTTCTGTGAATGTTCAATCGATTGTATACCTGAGGAAAGGAGGGAAAAGATAAACCTATCTCGAAGATCAAAGTATTATATGAAGAATCTTCTGCCCGACAGGAGTGGTATCCGCCTTGACACGGCTTTTCCATGACACGACAGCATTGGTAGAGCTTGTTTGTTGTCATTGGTAAAATATTTGTTGAGAAAAAATTTGAAAGATGGCAGCCTATATATTTCTTCGGATACCGTCCCATTACATGAGGAAGTATTGGACTTGGCCCTGGCTGTATAATTCATGATTCACTGTGATGACTGTTTTTCCAAATCCATGGAAGTGGTGATGCAATATCAAAGAAGCAGAGCAGGCTCATAAATTTATTTATGAGATAAATTTATGAGATCACTTAACAATGCTTCAACATATTCCGCACACGGGGAATAGATCTTAAAAGCCTGAATATGTTAGAATTTAGTACAAGTGAAATACAATATTCAGGAATGATAAATTTAAAAGTTGGTCAAGTTTCACTTTATTGTTAAAATGCAAGCAGACATGAATAGAAAAGCATTGTCTTGT